CATGTATGCACACATGCCCGAAGTCCTGGACAGGACAGAGAAATGGAGAAAGGATTGTATCATGACTACATCCAATTTAGGGGTGCTTTCTCCTTCTATTTCTCTCTCTCTGTCTCTCTCTAGCAAATGCACACACCACAGGTAATTAAACAAACAAAATATATTATGGTGGTTGTGGTGCTAGACTCCCATATGGCTGAGTGTGGTTTGAGTCCCAGACCTGGTGGATTGCTTTCTCACTTTTTCTCTCTTTCTCTGTCTCTCTCCACTGAGTGCATGTATCTTATAGCAAATTACAAAATAATAATAGTAAATAAAATTAAATAATCTTTGGGAAAATATATTTTTAAAATTTATTATTTTTTAAGAGAGATTTTTGCTATAGGGTGCATGCACTTGTCAGAGAGAGAGAGAGAGAGAGAAGAGAGAGAGAGAGAGAGTGAGGAAGTGAGACTCACCCCCCAGTGGGGATGGCCGTACTTAATCCCTTCTCCTCTATTCTCCTCTCAGGATTTGGGCACAAATACATATATGCCTGGCTTGAAGCCGCTGGGTCTAGGACTTGAACCATGGTCAACAATGTGGGAGTCCAGCAATATTACCACTATGCCATCTGCTGGTAGTTTGCCTTTTAAGTTTAATAGATAATTTTGAATATTTTAGAAAAAGAACATTTTCAAGTATGAAAATAATTTTAATGTTTTATTTTTCATATTTAATATAAAAATGATGCCATCTTAAAATTTTCTACACTTTTTTGTTTTAATTGACAAATGAAAACTCGTAGACATTATGAAATGAGCAAATTAAGCTATTAAAAATTTATATCTTATCATTTTTTTCTTTAAAATTTTTGTCAGAGGGTGCATATGCTTGCTGGTGAGAGAAAGTGAGAAAGCACATCCCCCCTCCCCCATGAGTCATGGTCATTCTGCAATCCCTCTCCATTTCTCCCTCCTTTTGTGTTTCTTAAGACACTAGATCTGGAACTGGAAACTTGTGGATTCCATCAGCCTTAACCACCAGGCCGTGGGCTGGCCCTTTTTTCAGTTTTTGTGATGAAAACATTCTAAATTTATAAATTTAGCAATTTTCATGTATGTAATACATTATTACTAAAAATGTACTTTGAATAAATTATATATTAGTCATTTATTGGGTTGTCTGAAAAGTCATGATGTATTTTTGCATAGAAAAATACATCCTGACTTTGCCAACAACCTAATAGATCCTTTAGGATTTTGAAAAAACATAAATTAGGTCATGGCGCTTCTTTACCTAAAGCCTGTTGGCAGTATCTAATTCCAATTGTAATAAAATCTCAGTTCTTAACTATTTACAAGGTTTGTTATTTTAGTTTTTGCCATAGGGTGTGTGCTCTCGTTAGAAAGAGACAGAGAGGGCAGTGAGAGGAAATGTAAGAAATTCACCATCACCCCTTCTCTCCAGAGGATGGCTATTCCTCAATCTCTTCATTCTCTTCCTGGGATCCTGGGTATGCACGCACTCATACCTAGTGTGATTCTCAAGACACCAGGTCTGGGATTCAAAACTTGATTGGCCATGTAGGAGTCCAGTGCCTTAACCACTATACACCCTGTTTAGGAAATCCTACATGAAGTAGTTCTTGTCTACCTCCCCAACTTCATTCCATATCTCTCCTTCTTTCCAACTTCATTCCATATCTCTCCTTCTTTCCACAATGAAGTCCTTTTCAATTGCAGTTTCAAAGAGAACTTTTAACAAGGTACAGATACATTTTTCACTTTACAGAAAGAACTCTGTGAGCTTGTGGCTAGCTTGATTGTTAAATGGCAGGTAAAGTAATCATTCACATTTCGACAATGCCTACTTTTATATCTTATTATAGGATCCTGCCTTTTCCTGTTTCTCTTTGATGATGGCTGATTAAGTTTGAGGATAAAGGTAGGGGTGGGAATTGGTAACATGAATCAGAAGATATTTCAAAAATGCTACTCTTTTTATAATAAAAATCCATTTATGGATAAAGCATATTTTAACAAGTTTCCTATTGATGGATATTTAGGTTATTTGTAGTCCTGTCCTCCCTCCCCCCCATTATAAATAGCACACTATGAACAATGACTGTCTTTGTGGCTAAATATTAGCCCCCATACATTTTTAAGAATTATAATAAGGAGGTAATAATCTGGAATACACTTGATGTGTGTCATGCTTAATGTTCCCTCATATCCAGACTTAATCAGTATTCCATGATGTTATGGGAGACAAATATGTCAAAGCATACAAACTTTCAAAAGAATTTTTTTCTAAAGGTGATGGCCTTTTTTCCCTTTATTTAACCTTATTTATTTTTATTTATTTATTTATTTTAATTTTACCAGAGAGGGACAGAGCGAGAGAGAGAGGAAAAGTGAGAGAGCAAGCCACCAGGTCCAGGACTCGAACCGTGGTTGGCCATGTGAGAGTCAAGCTTTGAAAGTGTAGTACATTCTTAGGCCCAAACTCAACTTGCAGCTACAACAAAGATCTTTAGGTATGAAAAGCAACCGGGACATGAACTGCAGTTTTCAGTGTGGAAATCCAGTGCCCTTGACCACCATGACATCTGCCAACCCTCAAAAAGATTTTTTTTTTTTTGGCTAGAGTTTCATTTGGAACATAAGTGTCAGTTTCAAATCTTTTCATCTCTGTCATCCTTGGCTCTTCCTCAGTATGTAGGCCTGTTCAGGCAATGTATGCCTCCCATATCCTTTTGCCCATTTTGTTCAGTGCTTCACATGGTACTTCTCTAAGGATCCTGTTTGTTGTGCTTCCATAGTCTGGGCCATTTAGTATTGAATTTATTCAGCTGAGACACATACACAGATTCCACAATTTATGAATTCACTTAAAATTCTCACTAAAAGTTATGTGTAACCCCTAAGTCAATACTCTTCATGGTAATTTGTGGATATGAACAGAGTGGTTAAAACTTTTAGTCACTCTGTAACCCATTTTCTTTTATTTTTTTGAGAGATTTTTTCCTTTAGGCCACATGGGCTTGCTGGGGAGACAGAGAGACAGAGAGACAGAAAGTGAGAAACACTCCCAATGGGGAATGGCAACACTGCATTTCCCTTCTCTTCCATTATCCTCTTGGGATTTGGGGCATGCACACATACGGCATGAGTTTCAAGCCTCCGAGTCAGGGACTCAATCCATGGTTGACCATATGGGAGTCCAATGCCTTAACCAATGTGCCACCTGCTGCCCCCCTCCCCCCCTATTTTCAGTTGAGGTTGAACAAGACAATGTTCTACCTTCTTGTTTTAGTTCTTATGCTATAATCAAGTGTCTTTCTCGTGGTCCATTTTTTTTTTTAAAGAATTATTAGTTTAATTGTTCTTATTTATTCATTGAAATTTGACCAGAGAGAGACACAGAGAAAGAAAGAAAGCAAGAAAGCAAGCTACCAGATTCAGGATTCAAACCATGATCAGCCATGTGGGAGTGTCCAGAGCCTTATCCACCACGCCACCTCCTGGTCCCTCATGATCCATTTCATACCATGTTTTTCTTATTTTTGTGCTTTTCCTTGGTGATTTCACTGTTAAAAATGTCCCCCTGGGCCAGCAGGTGGCATGTAGTTGAGGTGCTGGACTCCCAGCACCGCAGTTTGAGTCCCAGACCCAGTAGCTTTAAACTCACACCAAGTAGGTGTATGTGCATGCCTAAAATCTCAAGAGGAGAGTGGAGGAGAACGAATTGTGGCATGGCCATCTCCCCACGTGGGGGGCGATTTCTTGCTTTCTGTCTGTCTGTCTCTGTCTGGCGAGCGCACGCACCCTATAGCAAAAACCTCTAAAAAAAAAAAAAGAAAAGAAAAAAGAAAAGCCCCTTAAGGGTAGTGCTGAAGGGCTGTTCAGTGTTATTAAATACAAGAGGTTGCGATGTGCATTATGGAGAAAATATGCATTCATGTATGAGTTATAGTGCTGCTGCCATGAGTATATATTGTAAAATAAAGTTTAATTAAGCAGAAAGACTTATAAAACAAGGATGTGATTAATTAATTGATGAAAATGTTGTGACCAAAGAATCACAGGAATCTAAACTCATATTTCCTCTATGGGCATTGCTTCAATATTCATTAATTCAGTGTCTATGGCAATGTTATAGAACTTAAGCACCACAGCTTTTTTGCAGTGAGTTTGCTTCCAGAACATAGGTGTCATGAAAATCACTGCTAAATCAAAGCCAAAGTGGGACAGGAGAAGACTCATTGGTCACATGGATTATGTAAGTCCACCACTACTGGCTGTCTGATCTACAAATGTGGTGGAATCAACAAAGAACCATTGAAAAATTTGAGAAGGAGGCTGGGTGGGAAAGGGCTCCTTCGAGTATATCTGGTTCTTGGATAAATTGAAAGCTGAATGTGAGCATGGTATCACACTTGATGTCTCCCTGTGGAAATTTGAGACCACAAATATTATGTGACTATCATTGATGCCCTGGCTAACAAAGACTTTATCAAAAACATGGTTATAGGCACATCTCAGGCCGACTGTGTTGTCCTGATTGTTGCTGCTGCTGTGAGTGAATTTGAAGCTGATATCTCTAAGAACAGGCAGACTGTGAACATGCCCTTCTGGCTTACATACTGGGTATGAAACAACTAATCATTGGTGTCAACAAAATGGATTCTACTGAGCCACCCTACAGTCAGAAGAGATACGAAGAAATTGTTTAGGAAGTCAGCACCTACATTAAGAAAATTGGCTACAGTCCCAACACGGTAGCATTTGTGCCAATTTCCGTTTGGAATGGTGACAACGTGTTGGAGCCTAGTGCTAATATGCCATAGTTCAGGGGATGGTAAGTCACCCATAAAGATGGCAATGCTAGTGGAACTACACTGCTTGAAGCTCTGGGTTGCAGCCTACCACCAACTCGTCTAGTAACTGATAAGCCCTTGTGTCTGCCCCTCCCAGATGTGTATGAAATTGGTGGTATTGGCACTCACTCTGTGGGCTGAGTGGAGACTGGTGTGCTCAAACCTGGAATGGTGGTCACCTTTGCACCAGTCAATGTGACAACTAGTCTACATCGTTGAAATGGTTCCTGGCAAACCTATGTATATCTTTTTGTTTCATTATTTTTTAAAATTTTATTTTAATTTCCTTTATATATTCAATAAGATATGTCACTTAGCTTGTAAAGTGAATGTTCCAACATGAATACATTCTTATCAGTCCAGTTGGGGATACTATACACATTATCATCAACAGATAATCACCCATTTCTTTGTCCCATAAATGTTTCGCCTCTCTATTTTTCTCCTTAATGTCTTTCCTCAGATTCTCCTCCTTCTCCTACCCTTTTCCCACACTGTATCTGATATCTATAACCATTTTCTATGTTTCTGTATCCTCTAATCATTCAGTTTCAACCATAGAGTCCAGACAGTTGGAATATATTAAGTGGAGACATACAATGTCTCTCCTTCACAGCCTGGCTTGCTTCACTCAGCAGTAAATCTTCCATATTCATCCACTTTCTGTCAAAAGCCAGGATCTTGTTGTTTTTTTAAAAGAATTATTTATTGAATTTTATTCATTTCTTATATATATATTTTAAGAGACACACAGAGGGAGGGAGGGAGAGAGAGAGAGAGAGAGAGAGAGAGAGAGAGCGTAAGCCTTCAGGTCTGAGACTCGAACCATGGTCAGCCATGTGGGAATGTCCAGCGTCTTAACCACCACGCCACCTGCTGGTCCCAGGGTCTTGTTGTTTTCTGTGGCTGAGTAGTATTCCATAGAGTATATGTGCCACACTTTTTCAATTCATTCCTGTTTGTGGACATTTGCGTTGGTTCCATGTCTTAGCAATTGTGAATGCTGCTGCAATAAATGTGGATGTGTAAGCACTTTTCAAACTAAGCGTTCTTCTGTCTTTTGGAGATACCAAGGAGTGTTTGTATTGAGAGCTTCTCTGAGGATCTTCCCCTGGGTCGTTTTGCTGTTTGTGATATGAGACAGACAGTTTCCATGGGTGTTATCAAAGCCATGGCAAGGTTATCAAAGCTGACAAGGTCACCAAGTCTGTCCAGAAGGCTTAGAAGACTAAATGAATATCCTTAATGAATATCCTGCCACCCCAGTCTTAATAAATGGTGGAAGAACAGTCTCAGAAATGTTTGTTTCAATTGGCCATTTAAGTTTAATAGTAAAAGACTGGTTAATTGTAACATTGCATTGTAAAACCTTCAGAAGGAAAGAAAAATGTTTTGTGGACCACTGTGTGTGTGTGTGTGTGTGTTTGTGTGCTGCAGTTTTAAATTATTAGTTTTTAAAATCAGTACTTTTTAAAAGAAACAACTTGACTGAAAATCTATCACAGAATTTTGAGGCCCATTAAAACAAAGTGTAATGGTCTTCTTTTGGTCAACAATGAGACTTCGTAGAAAAATGTTAGGCAAAAATTTGAGTTTGTAATTGTTCTAGTATTAAGAACCTGATGGAACTTAAAAGAATGATAGTTTTGATTTTTTTTTTCTGGGTTTGGAGTTAGGGTTATTATTTCTCAACTGTTTCTAAGAAGACAGAATCTTAACAGGAAAGCAGAATACCCATTTACATATTTCCTTTAGAAAGTCAAACCCTGTAATGGTCATGTGTTGCTTACTTACTTTTGTACTTATAAATATTAAGTAAATTTGTTAGAATAATCCAAAAAAAAAAAAAAAGACCTTAACTACCACAAATAATGAGAATCGGCTGGCTAGCTGGCTGGCTGATTGACTTGACTGATTGACCTTCCTTCCTTCCTTCTCTCCCTATCTCTTTCCAGATCTCATTGCCATTTTAACCAATTCTTTTCTGGCTTTGTGAAATTTTGGTTAATTTGGGTGTGTACCTGTAACTTTTAGCCTTGGTAGCATTTTCTATCCAGTTCATTGTCTTCTTTATCACCCCTGAATTCAACAGATTAGTGTAGTCAAATTTATCAATTTTTAATGTTTTGTGAATCTTTTTTTCTGTGGGGAGAGGTTTTTGCTATAGGATGTGTGTGCTCACCAGAAGGACAGAGAGAAACAGAGAGACAGAAAGTGAGAAATCACCCACCAAGGAAGATGGCCACACTGCAATCCCTTCTCCTCCATTCTCCTCTCGGGATCTTGGGCACGTGTGCACACACACCCAGTGTGAGTTTAAGCCACCGGTTCTGGGACTTGAACCGTGGCTGACTACATGGGAGTCCAACGACACAGCTATTACGCCAACTAATAGTCCCATGTTTTATGAATCTTAAGACATTCTTCTGTCTCCCAAGATTATAAAGATATCCTCCTGTATAATCTTCTAAAAGCTTGTCAATTTTGACTCTCACATTTACAATCTACTTGGAACTGATTTTTTTTTTCATATGGTATAAGGTAGAAGTACAATTTCATTTTGCTCTCTAGATATTTGATTATCCCAGCTCCATTTATTAAGCCAGTTCTTTCCCCTATTTCACAGTGCCATCTCTTTCATTTATCAAGGGTATATCAATATGTATAATGGACTGAATGTGTCCCTCCCGCCCCACAAATTCATATGTAGAATGTTTAATCCCAATGTAATGGTATTTGGAGGTGGTAAGTAACGAAGTCATGAAGGCCCTTGTGGATGGAAAGAGAAGAGGCCAGAGATGGGACCAGCAGTTGCTGTATTGGCTATGTTGCTGGACTCCCATGTAGTTGACCACAGTTCGAGTCCCGGACCTGGTGGCTTAAACTCATGCCTGGCACGTGTGCATGAGTGTCCAAGATCTCGTGAAGAGAATGGAGGCGAAGGGATTGCGGGGTGGCCATCTTACCTGGGGAGTGATTTGTTG